GTTAAGTCTTAGATATGAATGTATGTATTGAGAATTAATGAGTTTTTATTTAAATTATGTTATTTTATTATGACTAGTTTGATTTCAATTTGACCCTCGATTTAACTTCGATTGAACTACTAACCGCTAACCCAATATCTTGACCAATTTAATGACCGGTTTGGTTTTCAATAACTTGGTCATAATAAGAATTTGTAATATGAATATATGATTATACCAGGAATGGTTAAGCATAGGTTACTTAAACTCAGCCAAGTCTTCTTGAATCTCACCTTAGAGTGGGGGTGAGTGTAGGTTACTCGTACTATGTGCCCTTAACATCACCCTTAATTGGGCATGGAGTATGGCTTGCAACACCTTATGGATTTAAAAATGGGAGAATCTAGTCTGATAGTGAGTATAGCACCTTGGCTAGGTAGTTCCTTACAATTAATGAACCTAGGCTTTTCTATTCACACAGACGCAACCTTATTTGATTTGTCAACCCACAAATTCAATTGATAGTATAAGGAAGAGATAAGGTTGATTTTTGATAATGCATTACATATATCATGACATTTGATATTGTATTATGATTGTGATTAGTTTAAATTACCCACTGTGCATGCCTTAATTAGTTTGGTTTACATGTACATGATTAAGAGTTTTTTTGGTTACTAAATGATTGTACTTACTTCTCATTTAACATATTATAGGACTAGTTCCAGTTAGACAAAAGGAGAAGCAACTGAGGCACAAGATTTAGTTTTCTTGCTGAAATGTCTTTGGTAATTGTGTAGTATGTATACATGTTATTAATATTGCCAAATAGGTCATTTATTTTGTTATACCTACATCACTTGCATGTTTTGTGTGATGGGTTGTAATTAGGGCCTTGGATTTATGTGTTGTTTGAAATAGATCGTGTGAATGGGGTCAAGGTAAAATGAGATATTAGGAAATGGTGTTAAACGTCCCCTTATTAATTTTATGAAATTTAGGGTTGAAGGTTGAAAATGAGATTAATTGTGATTTTACTTGATGTGGTACATTGTACAAGTTGTCTTAAATCTATTAAGTTTGGTTTAGGTATGGTTCTGGCCTTTTGGCACTTTGGTTGGGTTTTGAACACTTGCATAGTTTAAAAGTGTGAAAATGTGGTTAATGTGGTTCTGGGTGTCCAACCTAGTAATGTGATTTAATTTTGAAATGAAGTAGTGACATTAGCTAGTATGCTAAATAATCTATTTGCAAACACCTAGATTATGTCAATTAGATGTTGGATGTAAATTTGGAGAGCATCGAAAGTTTGACACTTGGATTAAGTTTGTGACAAGGTTGTTTTCGTTGATCTATATAGTACACCATGGAGGATGGCACCTACACAATAGCGCACGATATAGAAATAAGTTGATTGCAATATATTGAGTCTTAGCTATAGCGGAGAACCTTTTGTATTGTTAGCTATAGCATACACCTTATTAGCCACAATGGATGTCCTAGATTTTGTAAAATGACATTTTAAAATTTGTTTTCAAGTGATTTTCAAATCCTTCTAGTATCCCATGCTTTCGTGTGTTTTAAACTCTGATGTTTATGTCTTTCCAGCTTTGGAAAGTTGATTCCTTATTTTAAAATTTGGGATCCCATTTATTAGAATGATTTTGCATTATAAAATGAGTTTTCAAACTTTTCTAGTATGTTTAAGCATTATTTTACTTAGTTTTAAACTATTTTACCATGGCAAGGACCCTTATTTTTGTATAATAAATGAATTAATTGAGTAAATTCAATTCTAATAACTATAGTAAATCTTTGAATTGAGTCTTTTTCTATTTTACTATGGTTAGTCCTTTTATAACTACAATTAAAGGATCATCCATGGTCAGTTATTTGAAATGAGTTATTTCCTAATTATCATGGTAGATTGTGATTAATGTGGCTAAGTATATATGCGAAGTAATTTTCTAATAATACAAAATAAGCTTGAGCCTATGTAATAGGTTAGAGGTTTAAGCCTGATAGAAAATTTGTACAAGGTTTTTTTCACAACTCAGGCTTGAGCCTACCTAAAACCTAGCTTGGCTTAGACGCGAGCATGTCTCTTTATAATCATTTTATGAGGTGCACGTCTATTGATCAATTATCTTCAATATTTTACTTATGTTTATACATTTTATTAATTTAATTATTATTTCGATGTGTAAAGCACTACATAATATGATGATAGTGCCTAAAGGACTCACAGATATGGTAATTTTAATAAATTCCCACTTTACATGAGTAATGAGAAGACAAAAAAATGATATCATCAATTACTTAGCCCAGTGTGCGATTGAGGAGAATCAATTTTTCTTGGCATTGTTTTGTAATGGGTAAATCATTTTTAGTATTAGTCATGTTTGAATTTTTTTAATTAAGTTGTTTTTGTACAACACATGCTATATATATATATATATATATATGCGCACAATAGAGGTCATTAGATGCTACTTGTGCTCAATCCATATAGAGGCATTATGTGGTACCTCCATCTATTAGAGGCTGTTTGGATAACTAGAAACACATCATGTTAATATTTAATAAGTAAGTTAAATAATTTCTTTGTATGTGTGTAAATTATTATTCCCTTGTGATTTTTCATATAAAGTTTCATATAGTCATATAGGGCTATTCTTGTGTTTTGAAGCCATAAAGAGCTATCTTTAATTGAAAACTCTACTACTTATGAAGACGTATTTGAATGGAAGATAATTAATGTATAAATTTATCCTAAATTTATTTCATCAAATTAAGTTTATTATATTATAACTAACTTTATTATTTTTTTTTGATTTGATGATGACAAGTATCCAAAATAATGTAAGAAGGTTGTTGATTGTGGTAATAGCATCATGAGGTACGTAACATACACATTTAACCATGCCGCGGTTCATGGGATTTTGCCTGATCAACTAAGTCTCCTATATCTACTTTATTAATTTTAATAATTTACATTATATTATCACATAGTTAAACTTCATTTATGTTATATTTATGATTTAACAATATTTCTAGGATGCATATATTGAGGAATATAATCCATCTCAAATTGAAAAAAATCTTTAAAGAGTTGGCTAACAATTTACTCAAGCAATGGGTATAAAGTAGATGATTATAACCATTTTACCTTCCTCAATTTTGTTTAAGTATATTGGTTCTTTTTTCTTTTCTTTTCTTTTATTTTTTTTTTCTTAGAGCATCTGGTATCCTAGGGTAAGCCATCTTTTAGGCATATTAATAGCCCCAGACTAATCTATAGGCCATCGGGTCTTCCAACTAAGGGTAAAGTGGCTGGCCATGGATGTCTTCCATGCCTAAGGGAGGAATCAAACCCCTCCAACTTGGTTAAGGGACTAAGTAAGAAAACGCCAGGCCACATCGTCATGGTTGTATATAGGTTCTTTATTTAGGCAAAATAAGCTTACTTATGCTAATTTCAAGTTTTTGGTAACTTTGGTCTTTTAAAATTGCTATGGTGAACAAATTGAAGTATTTTTAAATAGATTCTAGAAGTTACTATATCTAGGTTTAAATAATTGGATTCAATTGCATATGAATTTTGGTTGAAATTAGATTATTCTATTGCTAGTGTGTTTCTAAATGTTTTTGTAAGGGTTGCTCGAAATGCATCCTCCTTGTTTTTTTTTTAAATACTGAACGATATAGCTTGAAATAAGTGCTATATATGTCAATATATTTAGTGGTTATTTTGTGCTAAATAGACACAATAATTTAGCAGTTATTTTAAAATAACGATTAAGTAGTTTCTGAGCAACTATATGAAAATTGATTAAAATTAGAAAAAATTATTTAATTGTTTTTTAAAATAAATCATTGAATATTTTGAAAGCATTTAAAGGTTGCTTTGATTAATCACTAAATAGTTTATTGAATGGATCATTGAACCAAAAATTGAAAAAAAAAATACATTCAACAGCTTCTTGTAAATAATCGTTGTATAGACTTTGACTATATAGCGGTTAAAAATTACTATATAGTTAACCCTAGACTATATAGCACTGAAATTGCTATTTAGCAGCAAAAATAACTGCTATATAAAGCCATTGTTTTAGTAGTATATGTGGAGCAATTTGCTAATATTACAAAATAAGTATGAGCCTGTATGGTAAGTTAGAAGTTTGAATTTGACCTGAAATTTATATAAGGTTTTTTGTTTTTTTCTTGGTTCAGGCTTAGGCTTACCTAAAGTTTTTCCTAGCTTGGAAGCTTGTTTAAAAGTCTAGTTAAAAGTAACCTTTTTAAATAGGCTTACATATTAGTTTTAAACATCTCAAATATATTTTACAACTATTAAAGTCTATATTTATATAACTCTAATATATAATAATTAAAATGACTTACTAACTACAATACAATAATAAAATAACAATATTAAAATTAACATATATATTTAATTTGATTAAAAACATAACTAAAAATAAAAAAAATCAGGATTATACTTATAGGTTAGGTCTTGTAAAAATAAACTTGATCTAAAATTAGCATATATGTTCAATTTGATTGAAAACATAGTTAAAAATTTAAAAGATCAAGCTTATATAAATAAATCAAGCTTATACTTATAGATTAGGTCTTACAAAAATAAACTTAATCTAATTAACTAAAGAGATTTAATTAAAAATCTTAATTTAATTTAAACCTATTTAATAAATATATTAAATTGAATTTGAAGTGTCTCAGGTCATACAGGCATGGGAATTTATTAAGTGAGAACAGACGTTACTTGTGCAAAAAAGGCACACGTGTCATGCGCATGGTTGCCTCGTAAATTAATACTATTATTTTTAAATTTTTAAATGTAAATTATTAAATCTGATTTTATTAATGAGAAGTCGCTCTCCTCCGCCATTCCTTTATTTTTTTTCTCCCCGTCTCCCGCTTCGCTTGATGCCACATGTGCTTTCCCAAAGCTTCACTTCTTCCGTGTTAAGTTATCTCAACTCTGTTTTTTGGCTTAATTCCAATCCAAATCCTGTTTCCAAGCTTCTCTGCATACATACTTGCGTAATTAATGGCATCAACAAAGCTGTCGTTTTCGTTTTCGGTTTCAATTCTGACATAAATTCTACTGCAGGTCATACTCTAAATCGCACTGATTCACACAATCACCTCCCATCATCCTTCTGATGAGTTTGGTCCTTTTCAATGGCTCGAGCACTTTGTTCTTTTGGTTCGTTCCTTCTAATTGTATTCTCGGTTTTCATAGTATACTGTGGGTTCACTGCTGCTTCCAGCGATGGCTTCTCCATTGTCGGTGCGGATTTTGACTCGTTGTACAGCGATTATACTCCTCCGTCGCCTCCTCCACCTCCGCCCCTGCCTGACCTTCCGTCTCTTTCATGCGAAGAGGATCTTAAGGGAATTGGTTCTCTGGATACCTCCTGTGAGCTTAATTCCAGTTTGATTTTTGATAGTGATATCTATATAGAAGGAAAGGGAAGTTTACATATACTTTCTAATGTAAGTTTGAGTTGCCCAGTATTAGGTTGCTTAGTTTTGATTAATATCAGCAGAGAATTCAGTTTACAGAGTGGTTCGTCGATAATTGCGGGGACGGTTTTAGTGGAGTCTCAGAATGCTAGCTTGATCGGTGGGTCGGTGATAAATGTGACTGGGTTGGCAGGTAAACCCCCGGCACAAACTAGTGGGACGCCGTCGGGAACTCAGGGAGCAGGTGGAGGGCATGGGGGTAGAGGTGCCTCTTGTGTCACAGACAATACCAAACTTCCTGGTGATGTTTGGGGAGGGGATGCCTACTCCTGGTCCTCGCTCGATAAGCCGTGGAGTTACGGAAGTAAGGGTGGGACCACAAGCAAAGAAGTGAGATATGGAGGGGAAGGAGGTGGGAGAATTAAGTTTGTAATCAGGGATTCTATAGAAGTCTCTGGGGACCTTTTGGCAAATGGAGGTGATGGGGGGATTAAGGGCGGAGGAGGTTCTGGCGGCAGCATTTTTATCAATGCTCATAGAATGTAATTTCATCTTCCTTATATCCTATATGGTGCTTTTGCATATTCACTTATGATCATCTGTGGACGGTGGTTAGATTTTGTACTGCAGTGTGAGAAGAGAAAAATGGTTCGTATCTTCTAGTTTAGAATGCAATTGTAATTGGCAGTTTAGGCTGAACTCATGGCTTTAGTCAAGGTTTTTGGCTCTATGGATTATATATATATTCTTCATCATATACTTACATATGGAGAAAATTTGTAGTGACTATATATTTTGTCATTGACAACCACTTGTCTGTACATAACCTCGTGATATTCTGACTGTCACTTGCTTTTTCTATAATGCATATAAATAAGACTATCAGAGCCACCCCCTCCCCACGTGTGGGCATCCATCCGCATTTGCATTTGTAAGTTCTCTAGATAGGTGGTAAGGAAAATATAATTGTGAAGCAAGATTGCCTACGTATTTGTTTGGGTTGATAAAAGAAATGAAGTTAAATTAGAGACATGAAATTATGTGCCTTCAATACTTGGGGACAAAAAATCAGGCAACTTGAAGAAAAGATTTAATCAAGAAAAAATTGTTAGGATATGTTAATTGCAGAGGTCATTTTACATTGGTCAGCAGTTCTGTTGGTAGCTCTCTTGTCCACCGTTTCACCCTTCACTGGGCATTTGAAGGGTGAGGAGGTATATCATAGATTCAAAGGTCACCAAGGTCAAAGATCATCTGTGGCATTTTGTTGCTCTTTTTGTGAGCCAGGATTATTCTCTTGTACGCTGGATGATTTTGTGTTGCTTTGTCCTAATGCAAGAGTTTGCAATAAATCATCTCCTCTGTGTGAAGTGCAGGACTGGAACTGGCAGGATCAGTGCTACTGGAGGGAATGGATTTGCTGGGGGTGGAGGTGGAAGAATTTCAGTCAAAGTTTTCAGTAGACATGATGATACAACATTCTTAGTGCATGGTGCGGTACAGTGATTTTTTTTTTTTTTAAAAATTAGAATGTCTCATTATTTATCTCTGTTCTCTGTAATTTAAAAAATATCTGTCTAAGCTCAGGGGACAAATATTTATGGTAAGAATAATAACTTCATTCATGTTAAAGAAGCCTGCTTTATTTTTATCAGGAGGAATGAGTTTTGGATGTTCGAGCAATGCTGGTGCTGCAGGGACATATTATGATGCTGTTCCTCGGAGTCTTTATATTTGCAATCATAACTTAACTACGCAGACTGACACGCTTCTGCTGGAATTTCCTAAGTTGCCTCTTTGGACAAATGTTTATGTCCAGAATCAGGCCAAGGCATTATTTCCTTTATATTGGAGCCGCGTTCAGGTGATTGAAGCATTGAGTCTATTGCTCCTCTTCAAATGTTTTGATTTTAATTAAAAAAAGAGGTTTCAAGAAGAGAGAAGAAAAAAGGAGATACACAAGTATGAAGCATGAAAGCAGTCAAAATATTAAGGACCTTCAGGCTCTTAGTTTTTACTAATTTACAGGTTGGTGGGCTCATACGTATGACCAATGGTGCAGTCTTGAGCTTTGGGCTTGCTCATATTGGTTCATCGGAGTTTGAGTTGATGGCAGAAGAGCTTCTAATGAGTGACTCTGTGATCAAGGCAAGTATAAGATGCTTTTTCCTTTTTTATGGTAATATGTCCAGTCTTGATTTGTGCTTCTTTTGTATGCTTGTTATATACATTTGAGAAGTGGTTAAGAGCTGTCAGTTTTAAATTTTTTTATTTTTCTTTTATCTTTTCCTTCTTTTCTGGGAGATGTGGATGGGTAGAGTCATTGGACCAGTTATCCTATGCTCTTGATCATCTATTCCTAAGCGACCAGCGAGCATTTTTTTGTCAGGGACACAAACTCTTCACAGATTCATTTATTCTGCTGTTATTAAAGTTCTTCATGATTGCCCTAAAAAATGATATCTCTAAATTTTACTATAGCTTCCAAAAGAGGGTTGAATGGGAAGTCTTAAAGCAAAATCTTATTTCATTATGAGTGTTGTTCTAATATGGCATATTTTGTCTTTGATATTTGATACATATTTCAGTTTTCTTTCAGTTCTTTTTGTCCTATTGGATCGGTTGTGCATTAACATAGAACTGAGAAAAATGTTGATGTGACCAAATCATGATTCTTTAACATCTATATCTGATGATTGTTTTAAAATATTAACAATGTTTTCACTTTCATTGTCTTTTGTGGTCTCATTTTCATTTAGATTTATGGAGCTCTTCGTATGACTGTCAAGATTCACTTGATGTTGAATTCCAAGATTCTCATAGATGGTAATGGTGATTCAATTGTTGCAACGTCCTTGCTTGAAGCTAGCAATTTAGTAGTTCTCAAGGTAGTTATCATGTGCATTTATCTCATTTGTCGCAGAGTTATAATTCATAATTGTTCTTGTATGACAAGCTTCCCCATATTGTTGTTATCAGGAATCATCTGTTATTCATTCTAATGCAAATTTAGGTGTCCATGGACAAGGATTTTTAAACTTGACCGGACCTGGAAATCTTATTGAAGCGCAACATCTGATATTGTCATTGTTTTATGGTATCAATGTGAGTTTAAGGCTCATCAGGTGGCTCTTATTCTTGCTTTACTGTTTCTTGACATCCATTTAGACAATTAGCATATAATCATTCAACTTTCTCTCTGTTGTATTAATGCTTAATGACACCTGATTGGCTTTAATGAATGTTCATGTATGAACTCTTACCTATTTTAATTTTTCCCCATGGAGTTCATGTTGAGATTTGCTACTTTTAAGCTGCTTGGAAAAAGTATACTAAACAAAAGGGGGGGGGGGGGAGGTTACAGTCAGAAGCTTTTCCCTTTTGTATCTCTCCTATACTTTAATGATTTTCTATGTTAAAAGCAAATGCTGAGTTTCATAACTATGTAAATGGATAAATGATGCTCATGTTGTGACTTGCAATATTTCAGCTATTAAATCAGTGCAGCATTTAAATTCTTTCAGTGGTATTATTTGTGTACTAATACAACGAAAGTCATCTTGAAATGTGAAGGTTGGGCCCGGATCTGTTCTAAGAGGTCCTTTAGAGGCTGCTGGTGATGATGACATGTAAGATCATGAGTATACTTTAGGCATAATACTTAAGCATAAGCTATCTCTTAATATTTGTTTCTGAAAATGCTAGGAGACCGCAACTGTATTGTGAACTTGAAAATTGCCCGCATGAATTGTTTCATCCCCCTGAGGACTGTAATGTTAACTCAACATTGGCCTTCACACTTCAGGTTTTCATTAGCATTAGCCCTTTTTGAGAACTAAATTGTTTCTCTTATCTTGATCATTGTTGTATCAAGGATTTGGCCTTGTTATTCCTTACATTTGTTGGCTTTGATTCCTGCCTCAGATATGTCGGGTTGAAAAAGTCATCATTAAAGGAACCATAACAGGCTCTGTTGTGCATCTTCACTGGGTTAGAAATGTAGATGTGCATCATTCTGGAATGATTAGCGTATCTGGACTTGGTATAATATTTCCTTTTAGAGACTATGCTCCCTGTGGAAATTCATAGGTTGCTTAATACCCTGAGAGTTCAATTGTTTTACATATTCCTTATTTGGACCATTTGCAGGCTGTACTGGTGGGATGGGAAGAGGAAGGTATTTTGAGAACGGTGTTGGTGGGGGAGGAGGACATGGGGGCAATGGTGGGGAGGGATATTATAATGGCAATTTCATTGAGGGTGGTACCACATATGGGGATGTCGATATGCCATGTGAACTTGGTAGCGGCAGTGGGAATAATAGTCTAGCTGGTGCAACTGCAGGTGGTGGCATTATCGGTAAGATATGAATTAAAATTTGGTGGTTTTTGCAATCAGGCTTGGTATTGTATTTAAATTGTTTCTAGCTTTGAGCTGCTACATATAAGGTATATTCTGGACTTCTGACAGCAATGGGCTCACTGGAGCACTCATTGTCTAGCTTGACTCTGAATGGTGCACTTAGAGCTGATGGAGAAAGCTTTGGAGAAGATATTAGAGGGCAGGAAGGTAGGTCCATTTCAGGCATTGGCCCTGGTGGTGGCTCTGGTGGAACCATTCTTTTGTTTGTTCAGATGTTAGAGCTTGGTGAGTCTTCTATAATCTCAACTAATGGAGGGCACGGTAGTCCTGGTGGTGGTGGAGGTGGGGGTGGTGGAAGGATTCACTTTCATTGGCCTGATGTAGCAGTTGGAGATGAATATATTCCTTTAGCAAATGTTGAAGGAAGTATTATTACCAGGTTTTTATATAGTCAAAGATGTTTGTTATCAAAATCAGTTCCATGTTTTTGTGCATCATGTGTCTGATGAATTATAAGGTTGCCATTTGTTCATTACTAGGAGTTGTGCATGGCCCATCCGACTACATGAAATAGCACATAACATGAAATTGTTATCTCATAGTGGATGATGTTAAACTGTTGCTTTTCATCAATATGCTGTGTGACAAATTTTCTCCTTTGATCTAGAAGCAGTTTCATGACACTTGTAACTTTAAATAGCTGGCTAAGGTTTTAATGATGCTATTTGGCATATGGTCAATTATAAGATATGTGTTTATTTTACTACTTTGCAGAAGATAATCTAATGGTTTTGTTTCTTTTCTAGAAAAATTGGAAACTATTTTAAAATGCAGTATAGTGATCATCAGATGATGTCTTGATGTATAATTGAATATATTGCAAAATAGGGAAATGATTTTGGAAATAGCAGTTGTATAATTATATAAATTCTTTCTTTTTATTGTTTTCTTTGAGGTTGTGGGGTTGGTTGGGTCAATGTTGTCTGCAATTGTTACTTAATATACTCGCAGGGTTGCTTGTGCTTCCTCTGCTTTATGGGATAGATGTCAATTTTGTCTGTCCATCAGATCCTCAAAATTTTTTCACTCTGCCTATGTTTATGGTTGGTCCCAAGCCCTCAATAGCCATTATAAAACTTTGTTGAACCATGGATATGGGTATCTTTTTTTTTTTTTCTTCTAATTTTCTGCATGAATCTTGACTGTTTATAAATGTTGTAGTATCTTCAGTCACTTGCAATTGCAGTCTTGTAGCATGTTCCATTTCCTTTTAACTTTTCTTGTTCCTTTTCCAAGATTTCCCTGTTTTGGGTTTCTGTTGGCTACTTTAAACGGATGTGTGGGCACACTTGTGAACTTCCTCTCACTGAGATTGGACATGGGGTTGGTTCTGAGTTCTTTTTTTCTGATTTCAGGGGAGGCTTTGGTGGGGGGAAGGGTCTTCCTGGAAAAAATGGAACTGTCAGTGGAAGGGCCTGTCCTAAAGGGCTTTATGGTATCTTTTGTGAGGTAGATTTTCTATTCTATCATAATTAGATATTTTTGCATCAAAAAAAGATAAAAGATTTAGGAAATTGAAGTTCTTGAGATTAAATGAAATAAGAACCATTATTGGATGGTCACTGTGGATTATGTACCAAGAGGGAACAATGAAGTGGCTGTTGCTTTGGCAAAGAGGACATTCAGGAGAGAAAGCCCTTTCAAGTATCTGGATGTGGTTTCTGATTATGTCAGAGCCTGTGTGATTAAACATGAGCCGTGATTTAGTGATTAAACATGTGCCGTGATTTAATTCCCCTCATTTTATTAGTTAGTTTCTGTGTGTTATTCTCATTTGCATAGAAACAAAAAAGTAAACTAAAGAACATAAAAGTTGTTTAATGCCTTGAAGTTTAGTTTGAAATGGTATATTGCTCTTTTGTATGTGTTATTTAGCCACTTTATTCTGTCATTTGAGAAGAGATACCAGAGGTCCTCTCCATTCTTCAGTTGCTTTAATCTTTGTTGCTGGTGTAAATATGCATATTGTCTTGCAGGAATGCCCTGTTGGTACTTTCAAAAATGTCAGTGGCTCTGATAAATCACTTTGTCATGTTTGCCCACCTCACGAGCTTCCACATCGTGCCAGATTTATTCCTGTTCGAGGTATTTTTTATTTTGCTTCCATCACACCAGACAATAAAAAGAAAGGGTACATAATTTATGAGTGGTTTTGATTAAGAGTAAATTATTTATCTGAAATTTTTGTTCTGCTTTTGGTTAGTGGGGCTGTATTTTTATTGCTTGTCAGTTTTTAAGATGATAAATGATTATAGACCATGCACCACTTTTCATTTGATTCCATTGTTTCGTTTCCTTTTTGAAAGGTGGTGTGACAGAGACTCCCTGTCCATACAAGTGCACTTCTGACAGATATCATTTGCCAAATTGTAATACAGCATTTGAAGAGTTGGTATACACTTTTGGTGGGCCTTGGGTTTTTAGCCTTCTTCTTGTTGGTCTCCTCATCCTGTTAGCTCTAGTTCTCAGTGTTGCACGAATGAAATATGTTGGAGGTGATGATATACCGGTCCATGCCCCTGCTCGAGATGAGACTCGAATAAACCATTCTTTCCCATTTCTTGAATCACTGAATGAGGTTTATTTACCATCTTCCTTGTGAAATTCATTAATCTTACTGTTCTTGTAGATGAGAAACTCATTTGAACTCAGTGCAATGTTACAGTTCACTTTTATCATAATATTCCTTTTGTCATTCAGATCATTGAAACGAATAGATGTGAGGAGTCTCAGAGTCATGTGCACAGGTTGTATTTCCAGGGCCCTAATACTTTTGGCGAACCATGGCATCTACCTCACTGTCCCCCGGAGCAAGTAAAAGATATTGTGTATGCCTCTAGTTCATTAAAAAAAATTCTTATTTATTGGCAGTGCAGGATGTTTCTAGTTTACATGATGAATTTAATTTAAACTTTTTTTGAACCAAGCATTTAATTTTTGCTGATTTTATAATTTTTTTTATACATTACTCGTAATGCAGATTTGAAGATGCCTTCAATAGATTTGTGGATGAGATTAATAGTTTAGCTGCTTATGACTGGTGGGAAGGGTCTATTTACAGCATCCTCTGCATCCTTGCATTTCCTCTCGCATGGTCATGGCTTCAAAGGCGTCGTCGAAAGAAACTACAGCAGCTTAGAGAATTTGTTCGATCAGAGTATGATCATGCTTGCTTGCGTTCCTGCCGTTCCAGAGCACTTTATGAAGGGCTCAAGGTAGCTGCAATGCCTGATCTTATGCTGGCTTATTTGGACTTCTTCCTGGGTGGGGATGAGAAAAGATCTGTTCTGCCTCCTCGTCTTCATCAAAGGTTTCCTATGTCTATAATTTTTGGAGGTGATGGAAGTTACATGGCACCTTTCTCTGTCAATAGTGATAATATTCTTACAAGCATCATGAGTCAGGTTTGCTCATTCAAAATTTAGCTTTTACCTGAGTTGTTGCTATTTTTTGTGTTTAATTTAGTGGCTTATTTTTATAATCTTTTTCCTGCCCTTTAGTCTGTTCCACCAACTATATGGTACCGCTTAGTAGCTGGTCTTAATGCTCAATTGCGCATCGTTTGCCGTGGACACCTAAAAGTAACCTTCAGGCATGTTGTCAGCTGGCTGGATATGTATGCCAATCCTACTTTGAGATCATATGGTGTGCGAGTTGATCTTGCATGTTTTCAGCCAACGGCTTCTGGATATTGCCAGTTTGGACTTGTGGTACATGCTACTGAAAATGACAGCACGTCAATGCAAAATTATGATGAGTCAGCAAGAACTGAAAAGCAGTCAAGGTAATCATAATTCTTTTGTTTCTTTTGTTGTCATATGTATATTTGTACTATGAGTAACTTTGGCTTTGTTATGTGCAGTTTTCTTAGAGGTCAGATAAACTCGTTGCATAACTTAACAAGCAATGACCAACTGATGATACCTAGAAGGAATGTTGGTGGAATTCTAAATGCCAAGAGCTTAAAAACGCTTAAAGAGAAAATAACTGTATACTATCCCTTCAGTTTTATATTCTATAATACAAAGCCTGTTGGACATCAGGTACTAAATGCTTTCTACCGTCCATTTCCATTTTAATTACTAATCTTGGAAGAAATTCTTGTTGATGACACTTCCCTGATTCTCGCCTTTCAGGATCTTGTTGGTCTGGTTATCTCTATACTACTACTTGGAGATTTCATCTTAGTATTGCTCACATTGCTTCAGATGTACTCTCTGTCCCTAATGAACTTCCTGTTAGTTTTGTTTGTCCTTCCTCTTGGTGTACTATTTCCATTTCCATCTGGAATCAATGCTTTGTTTAGTCAAGGACCTAGGAGATCCGCAGGTCTTGCTCGTCTTTATGCTCTTTGGAATCTGACATCCTTAGTCAATGTGGTAAGTTCTTCTCAATCTCTTACCTTTCATCCTTCTGTTTATGTTAATTAACCTGGAAAGTAATGGTTGCAAGTTTAAGCATACTGGTCATAAAAAGTGATTCTAGAAATTGATTTATTCTATCTGCATATTCGTAATGTGGTACTTACCGTCCTCTATATTTCATTTGTTCCTTCCATATAAAAAATTTACTGGAAGCTATTTAATATCAAACAATCTCCATATATTTGTTGTAACCTTTGACACTGAAATTGGACTTCTAATTGCAGGTAGTTGCCTTCTTTTGTGGATTGATTCATTATATAACAAACTCAAATAAAATACATTCCAGCTTTAAATCCTGGAATTTTAGCATGTAAGTGTCCTTCAATACCTGAGACAGAAAATTACTGTTGCAAAAATGAATTGATTGTGGTTAAATCTTGTATAATGTTGCGACTACTTGAAAATATCTAATGTATTTTCTCTGTGCTGGTGAGTGCAGGGATGAAAGTGAATGGTGGATTCTTCCTTCTAGTCTGGCCTTGTGTAAAATTATCCAATCCCGTCTTGTCAATCGCCATGTGGCTAACCAGGAAATTCAAGATTCTTCTTTGTATAGCGACGATCCTGATGTCTTCTGGCAGTCTTGAATGTGTTGATATAGTTATAATAATATTTATTATTATTATTATTATTATTATTATTATTTCTAGTTCACTTTTCTTTTGCACGTAAATGAGAGCAACATGGTGTGGTGTGTGTGTTTGTACATGTGTGATCAGGGTTTGTTGAATGAACTGGTATTGTGATATCAAGTATACTGTACAGGTTAGGAAATGGTGTGGAAGGGATGAGTAGGTGTTATAGGTCATAACCAAGTGAAACATTCAGGTGACATGATTATAGGTTGAGTTATACAGGAATGGAGGTTCGTTTTTGGGGTTGGGGAGTAATGTATATCATATTTTTCATTTCTTATTTATAAATTTTTTAAGTAGTCAAAAAAAGTTGAAATAGAAAAACTGGGTTCAGTTTTGCAACTTATTCTTTTCTCTCCTTTTATCACGTCGTTTTGTCCGTATTGTGAATTTATGCTTTAGTATTTGATTTGCCTGTCCTTGATACAATCATTCATGACCATTACCTCCAGCATAAAACTTGGATCTATTGTTTTAAGAATATTGTTTTAAGGATCCGACCAAACAGTTGCACCAATTGAATTGACGACTAGACGGGCCAATAGTTTGGTTTTGATAAAAAATTGTTTTTCGGGTGGATTGGAGCTAGTTGTCAGTGAGTGGGAACTAGGAGTTGAGTTGAAAATTGGAATGATATTTAGAAAATTGAGCGTGTTAAAAAAAAATAGCCTTTTAAAATTATAATGTTGATTTATAGTCATATGTTCATTTATTATTAACAAGACATATTGTAGTTTTATCATGTATAATATATGCATTTAATATTATTTTTTATTTAATTATTACATTACAAGTTTAACTGCTAGTCTAAGGGCTATAAGATTTTAGGCACACTAACTTTTTTGATTTAACATGAGGTCTAATTTTAGAACATTGCTTGAAGTTTTACATGGAACATGAAATCTAGTGCACTGCAAGTTGAAAATAGATGTAAATTTGGGGGAATGAAAAGTGATAACAAAACATAAAACGAGTGATAGTTGAACTTGATTATAATGTAGAACGATGATGATAGCAAGAATTGAAATCATAATAGTGACGACAAGCTTTACAGTCAGTCCCTATAACTATGGCAAAGACAATCTGGTAACGTTTTTTTTGTGAGGTTGTGTGATAAGACAAGGGTAATTTAGTGAAGATTTTTGGTGCCTTCTTTATTGATGGTTTCTTGGGCAATGTTAGAATATTAAAAAAATGTATGAAATTATTTTAGTTATATTAAATAATACTCTCTCTATTTTTATATATGAGAGAAAAAAATATATCACACAATTTAAAAAAGTCAGTTAATTATAATAATTATATTTAAAAATAAAAAAAGTAGACTAAAATGTCTTGTGTTAACTAACATAAGTATACATTACTTGTTTCTCATTAATATAAGTTATGAGGAGTAATTTAAAAAATATATGTTAAATACTTATTAAAATAAATGATTTTGCATCCAAGAAAATACAAATGAAAAATGATAATTTCTTTCACAATAAAAAATATAAGAAATATTTGTAATATTCCCGCCAACTTCCCCCACTTTTCATAGTGGGGAGGAGAACCGCCCCTCCATTTTTTTTTTTTTTGACCAAATCTCCCTTCCATCAGCACAGACCAAACAAGGGGTATTGGCACAGACCTTCTTGCCCTTCATCCATCAGACTTGACTATGCTGTTCTCCTCGATCTCACCATCGACCTCCTTCACGATTTGTACTTCACCTTCGTTCCCTTCTTAAAACCATTCTTTGTGATCCTTTAGATCCATCCCCATCAATCCCTCCCTCTATTATCCATCATCCACAGCCAGCATCTGTACAAGTTTCCAATGTTGCCTTTCATCTTCCGTTCGCCTTCATCATCTTTTTCATGTTGTTAGATAAAATTGGCACCAAAGAGAATGGTGAATTGAGTGTCTTCAAATCTTTAAAATTTTGTCTCAAAAGAATAAAGCCGTAATGAGGGGGAAATAGGAAACAAGAAGAATGGAGCAAATAAATTTAGAATGCAGGAGAAAAAAAAGGAAGGAAAGATTAGCACACAAAGGTTCATTTTGTTTCATTCCAGCTACTTAACATATGTTCAGTTCCCAAGAAAGCTCCAGATTTTTCAACTATTATGCAAGAAACCTTTCCAAGACTAATAGCCACTTAAGGATACTACATCTTGAGTTTCTGAAAAGGTTTCGATCAATAAATGTCTATGGACTCTTTCTAGGAATAAATGAGAGCTTGTTTGATGCAACAGTTTAATGAAATCAAATGAAAAATTGTTATAAGCACTTAATTCCGTACCAACCGCCTGGATTTTAGAAATTATTTAACCCATTAGAAACAAGATTATAGCCATTGGATAATCTAGAACATACAACAAAGACGTTCTAGGCATAAGCATAAAGCACAACTACTTCATTAAATACTGATGAGTCTCATTAATGTATTAAAGAGAATGTTAACACGTTAAACTAACTAAATGGATATTTTAACGTTATGATGTCACACTAACAAAAAGGCTTAATGCTTAAAAATGAGATCTTGAACAAGCTTTGATGATGCGTTAAAAAGACGTTTTAAAGTGTTAAAAGAAAGGCAACGAGGAAAGATGATTCAAAGGTCATTTTAACACGTTGACATAACCTTGTGATATAATAAATTAGACAAGGTAAAAATAAAAGATTTTAAGTGATAATTTTGATGCATTAATAGTAATAGTTTGACGTGTTAAATAGGCAAGTGTAAGTAACAAATTTGGATTGCTAAAATAACAAGTTAAAATTGCAAGACTTCACGTTAAAAGGAAGGCAAAGGCATCACAAAACTTTGATAGGAATTTTGACGCGTTAGAAAGACAGGTTGACGCATTAAAAAGTTCCAGGGCCAAAATAACTTAATTAAAAACTAGGCATTTTAACACATTAAAAAGGCTAAGGACTTTGAAAAACATTGTGACCTGCTTTAAAAACATTTAAAATGTAGTTGGGGGCCCAGCCTAAATCAAAGACATGAAGGAAGCCCAGAATTGTCATAGGAAAACTTCAGGAGTCCAAGTTCAAGTCTAAAGTGGCATCCCATAAGCTGTCCAAAGAGCAATGATCCATGAAGCCCAATCCATTAAGAAAGGAGCCCCACGCATCCAAAACCAAGAGGATTCTAATTCAGCATTTTCAACACGTGTTAAAAATGTTACTTGGAGAGAAGGTGCAGCAAGGGATTGTTGGCTCACAATCCAACCTTCACATGTCAAATGCAATTCTTGGGAGGACTTAAAGAAAGCTTCTCTTGAGAGATACTTTCTAGCCTCCAAAACAAAGATTTGATGAGAATTAATTTAAACATTGGACAAGATTTCAAGATATTTTGGCTAAGGAATGAGTAGTGAGAATTTAGTGTAATACTTCTATAAAGGCTTGCTTCCATTAGATAGGACAAATATTAATGCAGCTGTTAATGGGCCGTTACTTGATTTGAATGCCTCTTTGCCTTGGCAACTTGTTAACAAGATGGCTTCAAATTAAAAACAATTTTGAAGGAAGGAAAAAGAAGTAAAAGGAGTGTATGAGGTCCTTACTTCACTTGAGAGGAATTTGAAAGAGTTGCAGTCTCAAGTAACTTTTATAGCTCAACAAATGTACAAGATGCATGCTGTCTCTCCTCAAGTGAATAACAATGTCTCAGGCGTTGGCAGCTTCCTCGTGTTCATTATGACTCTCAAACTCACATCTTCGATGTATGTCCAATAAGGTGTGAAGCTCAACATGTTGCTGCCATGAACTACTCTAAGCCACCCATTTTCTCAAACTCAAAGCTAGAATTTTCCATAACACTTACAGTCAAGGTTGGAAGGATCATCCTAATCTCAAGTATGGTGGTGGAAATGTCCATAATTTTCAAGGAAATGTTTAGATCTTCTAATAGATTTCAAACTCGTGGAGAGCTTTCTTCCTCTAAGCAACTTGTATCAGTTCAAGAACCATTCTGAGATGGCATCCAAGAGATTGAAAAGCTTCTTCTATCCATTAATTCAATGAATAAAGGTCAATTCTAAAATTGAATATGAAATGTCAACTCTAGCAAAAGAAATCGAGCGAATTAAAATAACGCAAACTAACATTGAGAGCTTCATGCAACAATGTTCCAACAATCATAGTGAAAAGCAAGCTCAAAGTAGTGGTAAATTTCCTTCACAAACTATTATGATGAATCTAAAAGACTTGAATGCTATTGAATTGAAAAGAGGTATTCATTTGACCCAAAAAAAAAAAGGAAAAGGAAAAGAGGTAGGGTGCTAGAAGAGGTGAAGCAAGATGAAAAAGGAAAGGAAAGTGCAAGTAGAAGTCTTAATAATGAGGCTTTGGCATAACCTTTCAACCTAGATATGATAATGAGGAAGTAGATGAACAAATTATTTGTGATCCACCCCTATATAGCCTTAAACTAAATGGAAGAATGCTTTAACTTCAAAGGAAAAGTAAGGAGAAGCTTCAACTAAAAATGACAACCCAAAAACTCTTGATGAAGTGGGGGGAGACTGTGAAGCCTTGGAAGTTCAAGGAAGGTGACCTTATTGCTGAAATCGTTCCATTCCCTTAAAGACTTAATGTGCTTAGAGCATTGGCCAAGGATCCGTATGATAGAGACATTTTTGAGATGCTAAAGAAGCTTGAAGTTAATGTGCCTTTGCCAAACATAGGAAAAGGATTCCCAAAATTTGTTAAATTTCTTAAAGACTTGTTCACCTACAAGAGGAAATACAAGCCGATGGCAAAAGTGCAAGTGGGACAAAATGTTTCAGCCATTAAATGAGAATTTCCTTCTAGTTAAATGTGAAGATATAGGTTCAATCACCATTTCTTGTCAAATTGGGGGGAAAAAATTCTACATGCTTTGGTGGATCTTAGTGCTGTAGTTAACAAGATGCCTAGCCACATTGCCACATCATTAGGAGTAGGTGATTTTGAGGAGGCAAATGTAATACTTCAATTGGTGAATAAAAGCTTGAGAAGGCCAAGGGGATTAACAGAAGATGTGCTTGTCAATGTGAATGATCTCATTTATCTAATAGATTTTTATGTGGTGGATTTGGAAAAGGGGAATCAAGGAACCCTTATTCTCAGAAGACATTCTTATAATGAAATCTGGAGGTAACACCCAATTTAATGTTTTGGAGCTATGAAATGTCTTGGTGAGGATCACTCCTATCTAGGTTAAAATGCCATTAATGTTTTGCATGATTATTCTACATTAGTTCTAGGATCTAATAATGATATTGGTTTTGTTTCAAAGAGACCATTTGATTGTGTTTGCGAAGATGATGTGTTATGTATGCATTGCTTTGACTTGGTTGCCATTGTCT